ATATATATATATATATATATATATATATATATATATATATACAGTATATGTGTGTGTGTGTGTGTGTCAGTAAATATAAAGTTTGGCAAACTACCATTTCTTAGTGTTGCTTCTTCCTGGGTCAGTTGATATTTTTGGTTGTTTTTGGAGCCTAAAAAGAGCTTTAATTTAATCCATAAACTGAATACCATCCATTCCCAAATCTACACCCGTGACTCCACCAAGGCCTTCAAATCTCATTTAATCCATTTAATTGCTGTCAGTGTAAATGAGGCTTTAGCAGAGGTAGTTTTTATAATAGTATGTGAGTCATTCTGGTTGTTGATGCAGGTCTGCATGTTGACGTAAATATGTATTTATATTTGTGCTTTCAGAGGGCCCGGTGATCTGGCGCATGTTGACCTACCCTCCGGCACGCCGTGCTCTCATTGTGGGTTGTGGACTCCAGATGTTCCAGCAGCTTTCTGGCATCAACACGGTCATGTAAGTCGCATTTACTCAAATCTTAGCTCAATTCTCAGGTGCTCTTTAAATCTCAACCTAAATCAATAGGTGCCAGTTAAAATACTATTATCAATTCTGTTATTTTCTTAGTAGGCCATGTTGTACAGTTCTTTATTTTATTTTTAAGCATTTTACTAAATCACTTATTATGTTTTTTTGGAACAAAACTCATAAACTCTGTTTTAGAAACCTACTTAGCTGCCTTGTGGTCTACATAGGGAACGTCTCGGGTTACCCATGTAACCATGGTTCCCCGAGAGGGAACGAGATGGACACTTTGGGGAATGCAGCCAGCATGACCGGTGCCTGAAGCATGTGTAAAACAACTCCAATCCTATTGGTCCACGTGGCCCGTGACGTCATAGGCCATAGTACCCAAACGTTTAAAAGGGCACCTGCTGAATATGTCACCAAATCAGGTTTTTGAGGAGATGTAGAGGTCTTCTACCCGACCCGAGCCCAACAGGTCCCGAAATACTTTCGGGTTTCGGGTCGGGCTCGGGTTTATAGCTAAACTAAAACTAAGTGTTTTTTCTTTTGCCTTGTGAACTGGCCAAGCCTTAATGATTCTCTTTCTTTACATGTATTTGTTTACTGACCGTTGCATGCAATCGTGAAATACAGCATTTTTTAAAATTGGCTATTTGTTGTGGGGAAAAAAAAAGATTTCGGGTTCGGGTCGGGTTCGGGCTCTAAATTTAACTGTGTCGCTCGGATCGGGTCAGACGATCTCGGGTTCGGGCTGGATTCAGGCTTCAGTTTAAAGCCCGTGCAGACCTCTAAGGAGATGTAAACAGGCAGGCCGAAGGCATGGCAAGGGGACGCAGCGTCTTGTTCCCTCTCTGGGAACCATGTTTACATGGGTAACCCGAGATGTTCCCCTTCTGGGGAACTCAGGAGATGACAGACATACACCAAATCTTTCCTCAGAAAGGGGCCAAGCCACTGACGCCTTGGGCCACTCACATAAATTGGTAGAAACAGGGAGCCCGATTCCAGATAAGGGGGAACACCCTAAACAAGCTAGGAACACAACCATCCTCAGACAGCTATGCTATGTGAGCAATAGTAGCCAGAATACATAAGACCACTAAGAGGCTGGAAGCCTAGTCTCAAAGATTGCTACCAACAATCTCAGCTAGGACACAGCTATCCGCAGATAGCTATATCCAAAGGGTCTTATGACAAAGGACCTTCCTAAAGGGCTGCCCAGACCAAGGGGATCTACTTAAAACCGCGCAGGGGAGATAGCACTGTCTAAGCCAGGGCTCAGGGAGACCACTACTTAAAAACCCAAAGAAGGGGAGCAGTCACATAGCTATCCTCAGATAAGTATATACCTAGGAAGGGGCTACCCGATGGGACCAAAACTAAAAACCAGGTAAACATTCCTGATGCTGCCCAGACCACAGAGAGTGGGCTATCTACTTACGACCCTAGCAGGGGAGATAGCACTGTCTAGGCAAGGGCTCAGGGAGACCACTACTTAAAAATCCTAAGAAGGGGAGCAGTCCTTAAGCTAGCACATATATATCCTCAGATAGCCATGTACCTAGGAAGGCTACCAGAAGTGGACCGACTGAGACTACCCAGACCACAAGAGTGGGCTGTCTACTTGCAACCCTAGCAGGGGAGACAGCACTGTCTAGGTAAGAGCTCAAGGAGACCGCTACTTAAAAACCCTAAGAAGGGGAGCAATCACTGAGCTATGTGTAGGAAGGGCTACCAGAGGGGGACCGACTGAAACTACCCAGACCACAGAGAGTGGGCTGTCTACTTACAACCCAGAGAGGGGAGACAGCATTGTCTAGGTAAGGGCTCAAGGAGACCGCTACTTAAAAACCCTAGGCAGGAGAGCAATCACCGAGCTAGCCCATGGCTATCCTCAGATAGCTAGGCTCCAGGAAAGGGGACCACTGCAACTGCCAAGACCACCAGCAGTGGGCTGTCTAATTATAAACCCTATAAGGTGAGATAGCACTATCTAGGCAGGGCTCAAGGAAAGGGTAAGTTAACACACAGCTAGCTTCAGGGGGCTGTATTCAAGTAAGCCCATCCTGCCATAACAATGGCCGAAATGTAACCACCCTTAGATGGTTATACTAAGGAGGTCCCCAATCAGTGTCAGTCCCACAGTAGGCTAGCGAGCACTGATATATTGACCAGAGGCTCACAATAGAAAGATCCAGACCATAGTAAATGATTCGCTAAAGAGCGAACACATAAAAACCCATTACTCCAGATCAAAGCCTGATGCAAGCAACGGCCATAACACTAGGTGGCCGGACACAGCTATCCTCAAATAGCATTTCCATCAGATAGGGCTGAAGTCTGCCCAGACCATGAAGTGGGCCATCTACTTAAAACCTGAACAGGGGAGACAGTCTAGGCAAGGGCTCAGGGAGACAACTACTTAAAAACCCCACAAGGGGGAGCAGTGTCCGAGCTGGAACACAGCTATCTTCAAAGAGCAGATTCCTAAACAAAGCTCCGCCCATGATCTCACATGCCCTGAGCAAAAATGACTTAGTGCTCACACTTCATCGTGCTCACACTTTCATAGCAACGTGAGCAATAACCGCGGCATCTGGCAACCCGATTGTAAAGGGTTTGCGGACACTGCAGATCAAAGCAATCACTGTGAGCTGAGATAAACCGAGTTGCGGCAACAGCCCGAGACACAAACGCTTTGCCCCGCATCCCACGGGAAGCGCTAGCGGAGCGTATCAATGTGACTCATCACAAAGAGCGCGTGGTCGCTGAGACAAAGACGCAAAGGTTAGAATATGCCCTCAAGAGTTCGAATCCAAATACGGAGGCACACATTCCTCAAAGCGCTGCTCGACTCACCAGGATGATGTTTCACACACGTTGGCAAACAGACGGCTCTGAAGACAACAAAAGTTGGTGACATATTCAGCAGGTGCCCTTATGTATTTTTGGGTACCCGCCTATGACGTCACAGGCCACTTGGACCAATAGGATTGGAGTTGTTTTACACAAGCTTCAGGCACTGGTCATGCTGGCTGCATTCCCCAAAGTGTCCACCAGGACGCAGCGTTGAGCTCCCTAGAAGGGGAACTACATTTAAGGAAGCATCCTTATTTAAATGGAACCACTAGTGACTGATTTGGAAGACTCTACATAGACAGCAATTCCAAACTCTGCACAAATTGTACTCCTCAAAAATTGCGCAAAAGAGACAATTTACCCTTAAAGAGTTTGATATTAGCATGTTGCTAAGCTAGCAGTGTAATACTTTAATAAACATAAAAACAAATAGCACTTACAAATATTGGGTAAAATAGTAGTTTTATTTTCAGAAAATGAATTCATTTTTTAATGAGAATAGTTTTACTTTTAATTGATATAAAAGCATTTTTCTCAAACTATCCTCAATCTTTTTTTTTAAACGTGTTGCAGTGCATTCTGGGATTACCTTATTCACATGCAATGATACCTTGGAACTTCAAAACAGTTTTATTTCTAATATCTTTTCTGTTAATAATTTTAATTAGATTTTTTTTTCTGTTTTCATTTAATTTGTCATTTTAGTTAAAGCCTTTGGAATTTTGTTGTGTTTTGTCATTTTTATTTTATTATTTTTTTTAGTAAATAAATCTATATAGTTTTTACTAAGTTTTAGTTTATTTAATTTTAGTTATTTTAGTACTTTACAGTACTGACAATGAACAATGAAAAATACTTATTAAGCATTTATTAATCATAGTTAATGTTGATTCCAACATGTATTAATACATTATAAAAACAGTTTTATCTATAAATGTTATTTAATGAACCTCAGCTAACATAAACTAACAATGAACAGCAGCATTTATAATGTTAACAAAGATTAATAAATACTGTATAAAAACAAATGCATTGCTCATTGTTAGTTAATGCCTTAAACATAGTTAACAAATGGAACCTTATTGTAAAGTCTTTGATGTTTAGGTATTTATTGGAATGTGTTTTGTTTTTTATTTTCTTTTTATTGTGCTGTTGTGCCTAGTGAAATTTCCCCTTTGGGGACCAATAAAGGAACAATCCTAATATGATGATATACCTAAAAAAAATGCGACAAATGGATTTTCAAATGGATGTGGGAGGCCAGACTGGATGATTCACAACTGATACAAAATTCACAAGTTGTTTATTCACATTCACAGATGTGACTGTGCCTATAATTCTCATTTTAGCTGAACTTTAATGGATACCCTACTAAAGTGTGATTTCCTCTTTGTGATCTCGTCTTTTTCGCTCCTTATGCGCTGAACTATTTTTCAAGCATCGTAAACAATCTCGGAATGTGTGCTGTTGCTAAGCAACCCCTCAGGCAAAATGAGACATGTTTATGGGAGGGAGAGGAGAAAGTTGTGTGTGTGTGTGACTGTGTGTTTACTTTTTCTCAGCTGTCATTTTGGAAGATGACAGGTCATGACAGATGGGTCATAAAATGACATTCTCGATCAATCAAACACCTTCATTCTTATCCTTCTGTCGTTGTCAATCAATCTGTTTAGAGCAGGTTTAGACAGACAGTAGAGCAGTAAAAATTGACAGGTACAATCATACACACATATATGAAGTATTTGTGAGGTTTAACCTGATGTGCTATTTCGTATTTACCCACAATCCCCTACTCCTCAATCATTTCTGCACTGTCAGATGTCAGTCCTTTGTACACAGGAAGTCTTGTTGTGGGATTTAATGTCTGTCAAGCTTAACCTCGGCAAGAAGCATTGTCTGGGGGGATGTGTGCCGATTTTATGTTGGTCGGAAATATTGATTTGGTTCAGACAAGCATGTAGGCCTAGTCTTTGTAACACTGTAGTTACAGCATGTGCACCAGCAAAAGCTCATTGTCCTATAACATGATTTTTTCTGTTGACTGATTGCACTTTCATATTCATTTAATTAATTTAATATATACTGGCGGTGGGGAACTAAACCATAATGAGGCTTTAATGTATAGCCTA